AGAGAGGAGAGAGAGGAGAAGAGAGGAAGAGCGAAGAGAGCGGAGAGGAGAAAGGAAACAAGAGAGGAGAGAGGAGAGGAGAGAGAGGAGAGGAGAGAGGTGAGAAGAGAGAGGAGAGGAGAGAGGTGAGAAGAGAGAGGAGAGGAGAGAGAAGCGAGGACAGGAAAGGAAAGAGGAGAGAGGATGACCCCGGACCTAAGTATTCTGATTGGTTTCGCGTGTGGGGTGTTATTATCCTTGCGGTGTACGTGTCAGTGTCTGCATTCGGGTTCGTGGACCCTATCAGGTTTTTTTCTTGCCAATGGTAGGGAGTCTGCGATGTGGCAAAATGAGCTCCTCCGCAACCAGGATGGCAGCGGCAGTGGCCTACAGATCAGGTCAGATCAAGCCCAAACCTATGCGCCGTGATATGCTCTGGGATGCATGTTCACTGCCTCGCGCAGATCATCCATTCGAATCTGCCAGCGCTTGTGGCCATCCAAACACACTCATCCAACCATGCCGCTGAGGCTGATGCCGCAGGCTTTCTCGGCGCCTCTGGACCTTGTGAACTCAAACCACACGTCCACAGGTGCTCCCAGACCAGGAAACTGCAAGATCTAATTATGCTTGGCCTGAGCTCCCTGCTAGTAAAGGGCCGCGGCCTCTGCAAATAGACCTGGCGCTGATGCTTAACAAATGGCTCCTGGTTTCAATTAGTTTTACAAAAGCATATCGCTTTGCTTTTTCAACGTCTTGGCGAAAGCCGCTGCGATTGTTAGTCCATGTAGCACCCATAAATCCACAGCTCTTTCCTGTCCCAAGTCATGAAGACAGACTCCTGGCCCCAAAAGAGACTGAGCCCGTATAGGGGCTGTGGGCAGCGCGGCAGCAGATAGCCGTGACGCAGGCAGGGTCTGCGCGTCAGCACATTCTCAAAGCCCTTCGGCGAACGACCGCTGCAAAGTAGGTCAGGCGTAGAAGGATCCCAGTTTATCTGCCGCATGAGCTCTAAGCAGGGACCTCAGCCCATCAGCACATGCACTGAAAACGTACATGCATGGGCAGCTGAAACAACCAAACGTTTCTGTCCTAACAAAGACCCAGAAGCGCATCTGGAGCTCCCACGTCATAAACTCAGAGAGGCAACAAGGAACAAGCCGCGAGCATGTTCACAGGCAAACAAATGTAAAGTTGGGTAGTCAAAATCGAAGTGCTTCAGAATAAGGCGATATTTGGCCCAACGGAATTTTAAAAATGTAGGGATTACGCAAAGTTTTCTCGTGCGCGGAATACAAACAAGGCAAAAAAAACGGTATCATGACATGCTCTGGACCGGAAACCCAAGAGTCCTGCCTTGCAAATTCCTCCAGGAGCCCTCCCCCGAAAAAATGCTTCAAAACTCAATCGGTTGACCCCATACAATTACGAATCCTGAATTGTTTGGGGGTGGAGTTATATGAGATATGGTCTAAACTCTTAGCGTCCCTCTTAATAACGCCTATGATAGGAAGCCTATATAGTCCCCCCTCTTTAAGGAGTTTAGACTATAACTTATATTGAGTACTCCCTTAAGTGCGAGACCAGGGTCTCCGGCTAGATTCTCAGCGGCCGCATGCAGAGCTTGGATGAACTCCGCCGCGAGAAGTGAAGAGCTCTGCTGACGCAACTGGAAGACTGCACCGGAATTTGCCCCTTAGATCGACTCAGGCTACAAAGTGCACCTTCTGAAGCCAGAAGAAACGGTAAGGTATAAGGATAGAGCAAACCAAGTGTCTGATGTACAAGTCACTGACTAGGCGTCCCAGAAGTGGTAGTGCAGCAGGAAGTTCAAGTATCCAAACGTTGTACGACGAATCTCCGGATTCCTCACTTTACGCGCCTGCTGCTGGTAAAAAGCTGACATGCTTCTAACCTTTGGACTGCATGTGGCTGGCATCCCAAAATTATGTCAGGCCGCAAATTGAAGCTGATCTTTGAAAGGCAGATCACCTTCCCTAAACCAATCTCGTGATGGCCAGAGCCTGTACACGTCTCCAGCTGAGCGAGGTCTGACCAAAGTCAATTTCTGGAGCGAAGCGCCGTGCTTGGCCCACAGCTTCCGCAGCTCTCCTCAGTTCGGCACGACATGCTGCAGAACAATCCCAAGCTGCACCCAGGTGCCTTCGAGATGATCTCCATCAACAGCTTGAAGTAGCTGATCCCAGTCTCGCCAAATGCGTTCAACCACAGCTCTTGCTGCCTTGCCGCATTGCACTAGTTGTGCGCGCGACCTTGCATCAAGCAGGTCTACGACCTGCAGAGATCCGCCGCAGAAATCGAAGCAAGATATGCTCTGGCGCTCCATCATGCGCAGCTTCTCAAGGATGGCTGGAACATGAGAATAAGCAGGTGCACACACGGCACAATCTGGCAGTGCACCTGTAAAGAATCAAAGTAAATCTCATCTGTGTGCCAGCTGATTGGCTAACTTTCTGGCGTACGCGTTTCATCATCGCACTGTCAAGCCCTACTGTCTACTGCTTGTTGACTGCAGGATAGTATTGACAGCTCTGCTGTTCTTAGCCTTGCAGCCCAGCACACTAGTGGAGTAGATACCTGCACGCAGTGCCATCCACGCCGAACCATGCTGAACCAGCTGAACAGCACCACTTGGACGCAGCTACAAATGCCCAAGATCACACGCCATCACATTGCAAGGCTATTAGGAAAATTGCAACTGATGTACTGTCCTTTACTGTTCGAAGACTTGGCGACCTCGCACATGCAAGCTCCCAATACGAGAGCCCATGCACTATTACTTTCCTACAATCTTACTACTCCTCTGACACCACCGCTCCCAATCCCATCTTGTCTCAAGGACTCAAACAGGCCAGGATGGGCTGTACAAAGGTCTTCCACCGTAAAGCGGCCCTGACACTGAATACATTAGGATTCAGTCATGGGGTTGTTGAGACAGGTCTGGCCTCGGGGAGCCGGGAGGACAGAATATCCGTCGCAGGCCGTGCCCATTCGAACTCATCGTTGTCGGCGATCTGCATGGCTGACCACCCACGCCCAAACAGCAAGTAGACAATGGCATGATGGACTTGGCATCACAGCCTCCGACTCCAAGACCGTGCGCACCTCACAACAAGGCTGCAAGTCAAGCGTCAGTTCTTTCCGTCCTTCAGCAGGCCCAGCTGTGCGTCTGATATTGTGTTTGGTAAGCTGGTGCGCAATTGTTGTGCATTGAAAAAGGAGGACTCACCAAGCTGCATGCGCTGACAGTTTCCAGCTCAAAATGGGCTCTAGAGTTCAGTGTGCGCTTCGTGTGCCTGAGCTCAGCATTGAACCCCGTACGATTAGCTTTCCGTCCAATAGTAACATCTAGTCACACGACTGTGCCATGGGCTTCTACTCCTGCACCATGATCAGAGAAGACAAGCTCATGGATTCGAAGAAGTATTGCCTGCCGGCTGCGGGGCAACCCCTCCTCACACCACAAACGCATCTCACATTGAGGAGAATTTGAAAGACCGTTACCCGTGGGTTGGCGTGTTCTGAATCTCCTGCGAAGTCTGCGAGCAGGCGCTCGTCGGTCGGCCGACTCCAGGTCTGACAGCAAGCTTCACGGAAGCCCAAAGGTGAACCCAAGTCAATCCCTGCAACCCAGAACTTCCTTTCACGACGAACTTTTTCCATCCACCGGGCCATGCCCGGCTTTGCCGGGGCAGTTCAACAGTGTCTGCATGGGCACACTGTGGTGTGGCACGAGTTGCGGCAGGGCATCAAGCATGAGGCAAAATTTCCATGAAAGAGTACCATGCAAGCTTCCTAAGCACAATCATCCTTGCCTGGTGCCTGCTGTGTTCCCCTTCCGCGCTAGAAACGCAGGAAAGCTCGGCCTCACCTCTAGAAGCTGGGCACCCAGCTATCCAATAATGCCAGTGCGGCCTCACTTCACTTCATGCCATCCGCCCCAGTTCGCCCCATGCGCCCACAGCGGCTAAGAACTCCAACAAGCATAGTTCCGAAGGCATCCGTACATGTCCATGCAACTCACGGACTCAGAAAACCTCCAACTTGGCATCTGGTCTTCCAGCTGCCGCTTTCCTGTGGAGAGATTGGCATGAAATTATTAAGGCCTGGCAGGCCTGAATCCTTCAGGTCTGCCCAGAAGCAAAGAAAACAGATACATGAGACACAGCACGCTTGACAGCCCAGACTCCATTGCTGAAACGTTGCGGTCAGACCTTTGACATATCTGGCATGCCACAAGTCCACGTCTTCCTGGGACGGTGCTGGGATATGCGGGCACCTTGCAGAAGAGTTCACGCTGCCTTTGCAGTGTCTGCGGACCCAGACACAACTGCTTTTGCACGTTTGCTGCCAGGGTGCTCTATCGCATCCCCAATGACCGTCAGCATTCTGGCCTTCGCCATGTGTCAGACTGCTATCAGGTTGCATATCTGCAGGCACGCATACTTACGATGCAGTCCAGGCTGGCATGACTCTAGCGTTGGCCTGCCATCTTGGCAGGCATGGCGCCATCCAGTTTCCAAAGAAAGCCACCTCAAGCAACCAGCTAGAGCTGCTTGACTTTCTTGTCCCACACAAACCCACAAGCTGGGCTGCTTCCCTGCCCACTTCAAGCTGCCAAGCCACAGCAGGAATTTTGAACTGATTCAACCTTAGTGAGCGGCCTCTGCAAAACTGAGTGCCACTGCGTCGACGGTCAACCGGTCAACTCAGCCCAGGACCACAAGCGGAAGTCCACGAGTCCAGTCACGAACCAGTATGTTTCATCCTCCCCGAAAGAATACACAGGATGTATTCTGTACCCATGCCTTGGTCAAACAAGCTGTCGACTTAACTCTCAGAAGCACATGCAATCTCAGCTCATGGCTGCAAGCAGTACTTAATGATGCCTTTCCTGGAATTCAGGACCACGCTGTCCTTGCCAGTTTCGCACACCTGCTTATGAGGCTTCCCATCAGGGACTTTGAGTAGCAAGCACTGGGACTGTGCAGCCATGTTGCCGTTGCTTCTTCAAACCCACCAAGCACCAGAGCTACCTAATCAAGGCAAGGTGGCCAAGAGGATCTGTTCAGGAGATACTGCACCCGGTTTTCCTATCCAGTGCTTGCCGGGCCACATTGGCCCCTTCAGACATAAGCTTTTGCACGGTGGACTTGTTAGCTGATGACATCTGGCGAAACACCAGCAATATCTAAGCTGCCATGGAGGATGCAGGTTAAGATTCGGAATTGGGCCTGCCACTTGTCCGTCGAGTACCTCGCCGCAATACTAAAAACACAGAAGTTCCCTGAAGATAAGTCTAGAGTCTAGAGGAAACATTGCAACAGAGCCATTTAGCAACAAGCAACCTGTCGCAGAGCATACGAAAGATGGGGTTGCCATTCCGCAGGAAGTCATCAATCAAAAAAGATATCTTCGCCTCAGGAGATTGGATACCATCCGACGATCTTCGCAAGACCGGCTTCGCAAAGTCACTAGCAGTTTAACTTTGCGTCTTACTTGCTCCCTGCAGAGTGCTGTCAACACTTCAGGTAGCACTTTGCTTATTGATGGTGATGGTGCCAACCCTGGCCAGTCAGTGGTGTGGCCAAAGGATGCAATTCTCCCCAGCACCCTGACTGCTGCCACGAGACTGATTTGCTCACGAATTTCGAATTGAAAATGCCGTTGACAGTGAAGCCAAAGCAAACAGCTCCATGCGGATGGAAGGCAAAAAACGTCTTTTCCTCAGCAGTGTGTACAGTATAATATACTGCTGCAGTACCTGAATAGTTCATGCAGACAGGGTAGATGTAAAAACACATTGGTCCCGAAACACTGGCAGAGCGAAGCGCAACATGAAGAAACAAAAACCGACTGAGGATTGCACGGGCTTCACATCATCCAGACGTCCTCGCAGCTCGCACCTGGCCAAGTACTTCTTGAAGCCGAGGTTTTCCATCCACAATAGAAACCTTGCTTCTGGTGCGGGAGAACAGCACTGCTGCGCAACACAAAATCATACAAAATCGCACCAAGCTGCCCCGACCACGGAGTCACTCGCAGGTCAAAGATCACAGGCGCCGCAAAAATCAGGACAGTCAGGCAGTACTGTAGAGCCGAAGGACCTCACAATGCGCCCCCATCTGGGCTAGCATACGCAAACAGGTCTGGCCTGAAGCAGCCCCAATCAACGTCACAACCAGCCAAAAACCTGAAGCTTGTGAAGTTTTGTCAGGCCGGATTCACAGCAGCCCTGTCAAGCCTGCTCGCAGCTGCCAGCTATGTAGCTTGTACATCCTTGCCAGGGCAGGATAGCCAATCCCTCTGGTGTCCCCATGCAATGTCCGATATGGATGCCAAGATGCACCAGGTACGATGGAATGACGAGAAAGCTCCATAAATGCATCCTCGCGCAATCCGTCACGAGCTGCAAGCACGTGCTACCATACCCGATTGTTGATTGCAAAGCTGAGCTCGGCCTAGCCATGAAGATGGCTGTCCACACCAAAAGAAGCACAGGCCCTGATAACCATGAGCCAACAACCTCAAAGATGCAGATTCGTCCATGGGCGGCTTTGATGCTGAAAACGAAGGTCTGGGATCATTACAATAATTGTCGGCACCGTGCCCATGAAGTCATCTTCCGCCTTCATGGCTCCTGTTGAACCAACCGTGCGGGCGTGGGCAAAGTGGCAGCCTGCCTGTACATCTCGCTGCTTGAGCAAAATGGCCAAATGTAGCAGACCGAGGGAACGTCCAACTTGATCCCAGTCATACAAAGCACAACATCTCAACCAATGCCGCGTGAAGTATCTGATCTGCCTTCTGTCCGGCGCGGTGCCGGGCCGCGTCGTCGACCAAGCAGTCTGGCATGTGCGTTGCTCTCTTGGTTGCTTGTCTTGGGATAAAACAGATTCCAAAAGCAAGCATGGAGCACCCCAACTCGCGAACCTTGAGAGGGTGGCCTGTGGTCAATGCTCCATGAGATCACACGACCACGGTATGCTGGGATGCGTGCACTTGACTCTGACCCTCTCAAAACTGAGCAGCTCTTTATGCTCTTTTGTTGAAAGCCTGCCGGTTGGACACGCAAGCGCTTGCACAGCATCAGCCTGCAAAACGTCAGCAGCCATCTGGCCGTCAGCGCATTCGTAGTCAAGATAGCACAGAGGGAAAGATCGCTTCCACCTGTGATGAACTGAGTAGCATGGCCTGCTTGTCAGCCTTGTCCGCAAGACCTCAAGACGGCAAACAGAAATCGCGCATGCAGTTGTGTCCCACAAACCCCTGTCACGAGATGTGGATCAACCACTTTCTCAGCGTCAGGATTGTACATACACGCACAACTTTCAAACTTTCACCCTTGGCTTCCGGACCCATGTCCTGGCTGGATTGCTGGATGCATTCCGTGCTCCATACCCGGAATCTCCGGAGAAACAGACCGCCGACAAATCTGCATGGTTCTTTATGACGTGGCTCGACGTTATGTTAAGATGATCTTCAGACGCACAAACTCCGCTGAGGGCGGGCCGTGAATGAAACGACCCTTGAAGAATCCAACTAGCACCCATCGCTAAACTTCTTAATACTGTCCAGATGTCTGGCACGTTCACTTCCGGAACTTGCCTGCACTGCAGGCTACATTTCTTTCAGGAACCAGGAACTGGCTCAGCTGTGTAGTCTAGGACCCGCAAAACTAACACAGAACCGGGTCCTGAAAAGCATCTGGCTTTCTCATTCTAGCCATGTCTTCCTGCTTCCGCCGCCCCACCTTTCGTCCAGCAACGTGGGTCTGCAGAATGAAGCCATGTGCACACTACAGCTGTGCAGCAAAAGAGAAGCAACCCCTTGTTGGACCGAGCGCACCGTAGCCCGCCTGCAGACAATAGCCTATCAAAAGCGCACCCAGCAGCATCATGACCAGCACTCCTGGCAAACTCAAGACAGCTCTTTTCCCAAAGGGTTCGGAAATTCTGGAAGGAGGGAAACACAAGCCAACAGGTACCCACTCCAGCTGCCGTCGGCCACATCGCAACAGGCGCCTGCTACATTATACTGACATGACTATAACAGCGACAAGGTTGTAAAAGGCATGGCACTGCTCCTCTGTGCGCAGCCCTCGCCCAGCGTAGCTGCTGACATGCTGCCCTGCTGCCTACAATCTCAGCACAGAAGGCATGAGGCGTCATGTTGCAAGAAATGGCATATGCTGCAGATCATAGGTTTGAAGAAGCTACCTGCGACTCTGGAATCAATTCTTCAGCAGGAAGAAACCTCAGCAGCTTGACCACGGAGTGTATGTCAACTGGACGCATTGCAATGAGCGGCATTTGTGCACAGCTTGCAGATTAGGGGGAGCTTTTTTCAACGAAGCAAGGCCTGTAAGACACGAGACAAGGGTTGCATCCATCATCATCATCAAGAAAAACAAGCTAGTTCTCAAAACACTTCTACTTGGCGCCTGCGCGCAGCCGCGGGCAGCATCTATGGGCGTCTGCGGCTTCTTTGCAAGAATCAAGGACGTGGGACCGGTGTGGGCTGCCTGTTGGCTGCAGCCTGTATATGACACGCGATATGCATGATACTGCCATGCTGCTATGCGATAAAAAAGACCATGTGCCCGCGATACACAACAAATCAAAAACATTCGGGCCCTGCTCTCAGAGATCTCCACGCGGCACTACCCAGTTGATCTTGTGCTCTGGGGCCTGCATCATGGTGTGACCAATCCGCTTCCAGCATGGCTCTGCAGGATAGTACTGGATTCGGTAATTACGAGAACCGTGAAGGCAGCCAGCCTGGAGGCATTGTACAGTAACATTCTCTACGCTTTCCCGTCCATCAGTGCAGGTGGCTTGCAAAAGCAGAAATTGCCTCCAAGTAGAAGAGCTTCATGTCGATGCGGTACTGGCGATGAGCCTGGATGTAGACCTCAGCGCATCCAGTTGGAGCCAATTCTGCCCCGAACTCAAGTGGAAGCACTACTCAAAGCATTTGCTGCTATGATGGGGCACATCAGAGCACATCACGAGCTGCTAATGATTTGCACGCAAGCTCAGGAGCCAACCCAGGCAAAGAACAGACCAATGCCCATCCCGCCAATGAAGTCACGCAGGTAGTGCCTGGCAGCTCTCTGTACAACTGCCGCAACACGTCGCAACCAAAAGAAGCCTGGCGAGGTAATCTCCGATGACCCGCTGTCCTTTGCTCACAGCTTGCTCGCGACTCGTGATGGCTAACACGCACTTTGAATCGCACGTGCTGGCGAGGTGCGGAAGGAGAGCCAGGCTCCCTCCCAGGCCACCTCTTCGCTCTTCTTCATTTCCTCCGCAGTTCGGTAAGGCATCGGAATCAGCGGCCGATGAATCCTTAGAGAGAGCTCCCGAATGGCACCGGACAGCACGGCTCATTGAGCCATCTACTGAACCTCCACTGCGGACCAGCGTCTTCAGAGGCTTGGCAAACTGATAGAACATCTCCTCGTAGTCGTCGAAGGTCATTTCGCCGTTAATGAGCTTGTCCATCCAAGGCCTTGACAGCAAGAATGTTCCAGAAGTGGGCAGGTAAGTAAGAGCATGCCATGTCTTTGCAAGTCGCTTGAGCTCTGGGGTGTCATCGCCCAACTTTTTCAGGAATGGGTAGTACTGCGGCGGGATATAATACCTGATCAGCTTGGATCGCAGACTCTGCACGTAAGCTCACGGAAGCCAAAAAACAGCAGAGCGCAGGACCACCTCTAACTGCTTCAGAAGGACGTGTGGCGGATTGTCGTGGAAATCTCTGGAGGGATGTGCGCGGGAACTCCAAACTCATCGCGCGGCATCACGTCATACTCAAGTTCCAGATCCGTGTCCCAGCCAGGCTTGTCATAAATGTTTGTCCACATTACCTTGGCACAACTGCCGACATGTTCTGAGCATCTGGGCTGACATACACACACAAACATGGCCAGCAGCGGCCTTGCAGCTCTCCAGAACCAGCTATGCACGCGGCAAGATGTCAGCGTCGTGTAACTGCTGATTCTGGCCAAGCAGCTGGCCAACCAGGGTTAACAGCCTTTGGTGTAGGTGCGCAGCAGTCTTCTTACTTTCTGGTATGAACGCATGAGAGAGGAAGAGACAGGACATTGCTGCCAACAAGGCGCTGTGTTGTGACGCGGAATACTTTGATGCAGCTGCCTCTGCTGCAGACCAGCTGGAGAACAACGAACTGCGCTGCTGCGCAGGGCCGCCTCGGCCTGCCATGAGCAAAAGCTTTGCCGAGGGTTCAAGGTTAATCCCTTCCCCCTAATATTAAATCAAAGCCCACGCCCCCCAATACTAAATACTCCCATTATGTGGCAATTCTATTCTAAATCTTGGGAGTATTTAATATTAGGGGGGTGGTGGGGTTGAATATTAGGTGGAAGGGGATTACAAATGTTACAGCGTACAGGCAGAGAGCACACCTCCAGCCTTGCCTTTGTCAACAGACCGCGGCGAATGGAAACCAACATCGTTCGTCCCCAGCTGCTTCCAGGTCCCAGGCGCTAGATCATACGATGTGGGGCGCCGCTGGTTCAGCCATATGTGCGGCGAAGGAAAAAGCACATCCATGCAGAAAGGTGCACAACCAGTGATCATGAAAAAAGGGCTGGAGGCACACAAAGTACGGCGGCAACTGAGTATCGAAACCTTTTTGCTCGTCCAAGGTTTGTATGGAAGATAGGCAGCCGGCAAGCGTTCTAGCACAAAGCTTGCAACCTTGGTGGCCTGGATCAGGCCACTCGGGTTCTAATGCCATGTTACGCCGCTGCTATGCGCGAGCATCATGCAAAAAAATTGAAATCAGAGCATTCGCCATCCTTCAGCACGGCAACATGCCCAACACTCGCAAGCAACATAGGGCCAAGCAAGGGACTGGGACCTGCTTTGCCCTCTGTGCCTGTGCATGCACCCCAGCTAGAAGCCAGGTCGTGGTAGTATTGGTAGTGTAGCTCTGCCCTGAGGGCAGCAAAGTTTTTACAATGTGTACAAGTCAGCACGGCTTAGGGAGCGATTCACCGGAAAACCCGAATGTAGCCGAATGTGAGTAGCAACTAACAGGCAAAGGCCGTGACGGATAAGACGAGCTCAATAATCTAGCCAAGTGATGTCGGGTGTTGACCGATAAATTTCCTCCCACGTGCTTACAAGAAAGACCTGCTCAAGGTTCAAAGCTTTCAATTTAAAGGAAAATGCGTCCTTCAGCAGTCATGCAGGCAGGAAGCCAAGCACCGAATTAGCTGGCCAGTGAAACGAAGATACATGCCTTCCTGGGAAGTGCAGAGAGGTGATTCGCACATACTGATGTTTCAAGAGCTCATTCGTTTTTATGGGATTGTCTTAGACAGACAGACAGGCTCGCGACTCTCTTCTCTGCACACAGGTGCAGTCTGGCCAGCAGTGGGCGCACTCGTCCAAGGCTTTTGCTGTCTGGAAATCTTGGAAGGGCACCGGGCATAAGGGCGCAAGATCACTTCACGTACAGCACGTCTACTCACACCCTCAGGGCAGGTCAGGGCAGGTCAAACCGGGCAGTGTGAACGTCCATGATTTGTCCCGTGCCATCACTGCAGGTACAACTTCCCAGCATAAAACTTCTGAAGCAATGCCACTCCCAAGGCCTTCGGGAGGGCACGGCAAGCGACCCGCCTGACTGGAGTAGCACATCAGCAAGAAGGAAGAGCAGAGACGCAAGCAAACAGAGCACTGGGATATTGCAGGGCTTTTCGCTGGGAGGCAACACCAAAAAGCGTCCGCCATCGTCCGCCCCCCCTCCCCCGCTGCTAAAAACAACCCCATAGGCCCCCCACCCCCTCGAGCAACCCCTAAACCCACCCTACATCCTGCAAGGGCTTTTAAGCAAAAATGCGGGGTGTCAGGGCCGACAGGCGCAGCGACGCTCTACAGGAGAGTCATGGCAAAACAGCTCGCACATGACCCGCCTGCGTGACGGGGATGTAGAACAAGCTATCACTCATCAGTAGACTAAACCTGGTGGTCTGCAAAAATGTCGATTTCGTAGGAGGAAACTGCACTTCTGGCCTTGAGCTTGATGTTGCTTCCCACAAGCTGCTGGCGCCCATCTCTGCTCTCCTGCTTGCAGATGCCCCGGTGCAAACACTTAAAATACCCTAACTTTCCTCAGAATTCTGAAAGTAATGAAAGGCAGACATCATGTTGACAGGGTTGGCCCTCTCACATCAAGAGCTTGCCAGGATGTCATTGCCAGTAAGGACAGCAAGCACGTCGATCTTGCTCAAAGCTCGTCCTATCGGGCATGGATGCCATGGAAGCAGAGTGCCCACGGGCTTCCAAGCCCATAAGGCGCCTGAGCACAATGACGATATAGAAAGCTGGAGGCTAAACAAAAACAGTTGCTTGGCCTTCATGCTTAACAGCTTTTTCTTGTGCACAACTCGCCGTCATGCAAGCAGCGTGTGCGAAAAAAGGGCTAGCTCAGTTCTGCACTATTCCGAAGAGATTGGTCTAGGATGGTCTACGGGCAAAGCAGGTCTGCCAGCTTTTTTTTTGACTTTTTGCTTGCTTTTTTGTAAGGTTCAAGTGAAGGTTAAAAGAAAGCAAGGGGGCCTCTTGGAACCGCGAGCGGCTCGGGAGGCCACAGCAAGGCCACGCATGCTCGGAGTGCTCAGAGTGGCTGGGTCGATGGCCCCGCGGTCTACTCTGCAGGCTACTCCGCTTTGAGCCAGCATGCACCAGCACAAGCGAGCAGTAAATTTACAATGCCAAGCCTTCATCAAGAAATCTGAAACTCTGCAACTTTGGTCTACTTTGCGTTATGTGATTGTGCGCAGCCTGCTTAGCTTTGGCATCTTGTCTTGGTCGTCGGCCAACCGCTGTCATTCTGCAGCGCGCTCATCACCCTTAGTCTTGTAACACGTCGGGAGGAATCGTCGAGGAACAACGCAAGCCCATGGTCCCTACAAACTTGACAAACCTGCACAAAGGCAGCACCGACGTGCTGCCTTGCCTGGTTGATATATCATCTTGAGAAAGGCCCTGGGGTTTGTTTGCAGGCAGGAGAAAAAGAAGCAAAGTCGTGGTGTTGGGGGAGAGGGGTGGCATGGACGCGTAGCTTTGGGAAAGCATAGAACGAAGCTGACCGGCGCCACCACTTGCATCTAAGGCCTGGTCCAAGCAAGGAGCCGCTCTGGGACAGGGAGATGCGCTGCAACACTCGAGCCCAAAAATTGCATTCCAAAGCCCTTCAGGGGCCTATAATAAGCAGCATAGTCTTCCTGATGCCCTCAACTGCATCGGGTACTGGCCCCCAGCGCAGGCTATCCAGATCTTTTGGGGAATCTGGAGTACTTGTTCTGAAGGCTTTTCCTCAAAGTTCACAATTCAGGCCCCTTGGAAGCAAAGCGCAACAACAGCAGTTGCAAAAATGATCACCCTCCTACCCTGTGCAGCATGACATTGTTTTGTGGGCGCAACAGGGAGGGGGAACAGGTCCCAAGCAGGGACAGCCTTGTGCATTCAAACCAAACCAAGCCAAACCAAACCAAGGAATCTTGGGTTCCATTTGCCTGGCAACTGTCAATGCAGTCTAGACGCGACAGTCCCAGCAGTCTCCACTAGCGCGGCCTACGCAGATGTTGCAGGCTAACAGATTTCCGGAAATGATTATAAAGAAAATCGTGGGGGTCTGGATTGTATGGTTTGGGGCCTGGATTGAGCCTCTGTGGAGGGGCGCGCACATACAGGGCGGGATTGGCGTGGCACACCTGTCTCAGGGTCGCTGTGGTGTCTCGCAGGTATGTTGTTTGCTTTCAACTGGGCCCAATCCCAAGGCCCCCAACTTAACTTAGGATTGGTTAGCCAATGTTTCGAAGGCCCCCATCCATGCCGATTCCAAGGCATTTTTTGTGCATGCGAGTCATGCGATGTACCTAGTTTCATGTTGGGCCATTCTGCTACGCTCTGCCGGGCACTGGCATGTCAGACCCTCAGAGACCCCGGAACTATCTGCGATGGGGCCCAGGGCCTGAAGACCTTCAGCCTAAATGCAAGGATTCCAGAAAGGGACCCGTGATTTGGAGCATCTCCACCAATGGCTTGCGGCCGGGAACAACCAAAATGATAAGGGCTGTTCAAGACAGGGCTTCTCCTAACTCAACTCAGTCCAAACTAATTCTATCCCTGCAACCTTGGACCTTTTTCGTGTGCGGTGCTGGCTTAACACCGGTTGAAGTGAAACCTCGTGAGCGCACCTCACATCCTTACAGAACCGGAGGTTGCGAACACACACCCACACACACACACACAGCAACACAATGCATCCAGTCAATGCACATGAAAAATGAGCCTGCATGTTGTCATGCATGACAAGGAGAAAGCACTCGTCCTTCCACGGTGAGTGTACCAAGAGTTCATACAGGACCACGGGCGCTGACATGGCCCTGCCTATGGCTGGATTCACTGCCGGCAACTGCACAAGCCTTGCGGCGTTCACCGCTGGGCTTACCCGCGGTGTCTCCATGGAGACTGTAGGACCAGGAAGGACGCGACGCACGCGTTCGACCTAGAGGCTTGACCGGCAAAGCCCTGCGAATTGACAGAGTTTACTCACATCCTGGCCTTGAACTTTGGAGGGGCAGACTTCTGCACTGGCAATGCAAACCTTAGCTTCAGTATGTGACCAGCGTTTTTGTGTTTTGCCTAAGAGGTAGCGCTTTTGGCACCAGGCCCACCACTACTCAAATTTCGACGAGTCACTCGAAGTTGTTGATCCTGTAATCCCGCCAGGCTGTATCCATACCCATCTCCTAGGTCCACTTGCAAAAACACGGGCGCTCACAAGTTCAAGCCCCCGTAGGTTTCCAGCATCGACTCTGTACGGAGCATCTGCATCTAGTATGTACGGCGCATACTGCTCCTGGCGGCGCTTCAGACCAGCACTTTCGAGGTCTGGGGCTTGTGTTAACCTTGTCGTCCAAGCAAAGTGAAGTGCTAGCTGACCTTGTGATTCTACATTGCAATTCTGAGAAGTGCGGTTTTTCGTTATCTAGGAATCGAGGTAGCTCAACACCAATAGTAAGTTTGGAATTCGCAAAGAATCGAAGAGCGATCCTGCGCAGCACCTGCAGCAAGGAGACTCGCGGACACCCGCCCAGCAACAAGTCTAGAGGCAACGAAATGTGTGTGTGTGTGTACAACCTGATTCTAAGCAGAGGGTTGTTGGAGACTTTATTCTGATTCGACATTCTACAAGTGTTGTAGCACCAACCTCAGTTTTCAAGCATGGGGTCCAGGCTTCCAGTTGCCTGGTCACAGTCCAAGGAAGCTACGCAACTTGAAGGGAAGCATCAGGGGACGCTCTGATGCGTACCTGCTTATCACACAACACTCACTCAAGTGCCAGGGGCAGACCTGCGCGTACATACAGAAACTCGCTAAAGGTTTGGCGACCAATTGTTTCCACATGCATGTGTTCCATCACGGGGATAAGCGCTAAAACTTTACAATGCAGGCACGCTTGTTCTACTGTGTGATAGCCCAATGCACCCTGCCACACCAACCTTTGCAAGGGTATCGTACAGAGTGGAAGCTGGTTTCAGAGACAGCCGATTTCAAGTATGGTTCGTCTGCTTGCAAAGATTTCAGTGCAGTACATGTGTACTGTGTGAACGTGCAGTTGAAAACATGTTGTGACATGTTGTCAGGCGGCACCCATGATGAAAGCATATGTTGATGAACATGTCAAGATTAAATTTCGCAGGAAGTTCTTCTTTACGTACCTTTTGGGAAGGCCTCTGACAATCTTCGAGAAGCCAAAAAGACTGTCTTGACTCCATGTGTGGGCGCAGCAGTAGACAAGATGACACTCCAAGAAGCCAGCCTCGTCCTCTTCGGGTAGCTCCTCCCCGATGCGGTGAGTGGGTTTTGTGCGTGCCTTTATATGCTTCTGCCTCTCTTCCTCCATCTGCTGGAGTGCCTTCACACGGACTGTCCAAGCAGCGCGCTCAAGCCTAAACGACCAGCATGCTTGTGGACTCTACTCGTCTATGATGCGGTATGCACTTGTTCTGGCCTCTTTAAGCCTCCGGTTCAGGATTGCAAGGATCTGGAGTTGATCCGACGTCTTGTCTTTATACCTGCACGGAGCGAGAGCAAGATCAAAAACAAGTCTCTGGAAGTAGACTGGATTGGCACAACTCATGGGAAGAAGCATCCGACTTCACTCTGTTGCCATCGCAGTTGAGCCGGGGTTGCTTCACTGAGCTTCGAACTGCTCGAACTGCTCGGCATATTTGTGCATATGCTCAGCGAAGCGCTCCCTTGGCTCAATGCAATGCCTCCTGCAAAAGCCTGGATCCTGGCACATCAACTTGCTGAAATGTCTTCTTGCAGTCAAAGGTCTGCTGCTGCTGCATTTCTTTATGCAGTCCGTGCCAGCGGCTCTCGGCTTCGCGCCTCTCCTGGCCCCCAGCTACATCGCATTTGACGAAGGAGCTACCTGCAGGTCCTCCTGGGACGCCAGTTCCTGGCGCTTGAGCTCCGCTTCTAGGCTGGAGGTCTCTCTTCCCAGCTGCTTCACCAACTCGTCCCGGCCTCATGATGCTTTGCTTAGCAGAACTCTGCATGATTTGAGAAGGCAGGGCCGCTGCAAGACAGCTGATGCTTCAGCTGGGCGACCTCGCCTTCGAGCAGGACAGCCCATATTCATCTCACTTTCTCAGACACCCGTTACGAGTTGCTCTGCCATTTTTTAAGAACCAGTTCCCGCATGGCACCTCTAGAAAGCTCTAATTGTTTCTCAAGAGACTGGACTTGCTCCTCCAGGTGCTCCTGTGCGGGCATCAGGGGTTGGGCAATTTCCAAAAACCCAAAGAAATTGCGGTCCTTGTGCTTTGCAGCGGTGAGGTAAGACTCTTGCGAGGCTACGACGCCTCATCCCACTGAAATTAATTACTTGAAACGCCCCTGAGGCAGCGGCACCGCTCCTTTGAGTTGCGTGATCTCCGCCTTCTGTGCCTGAACCAGGCCCTGCATCGGAGTAGCGCTTTTCAAGCGCAATGGAGCGCACGGTGCGCGAAAAGTCAAACATTTGCGAGGAGGACTATGATTCAAGCCGGGTCCTCTGTGTCCAGCACGTTCTCCCTCAGCTCCCCCAACATCTTGCCATATTTGTCCTTCAAGGCCAGAAGGAGATGTTGACGCCTCCAGCTCAAGTCTACACTTCAACACTGCAACTGCAACCTCCATCTTTTCAGTCATCTCATCTCGGATCTTGCGAACCTGGAAAGGAGTGATTGTGATGAATGACGCAGGTGACTACCCTGTGGCACTTTTTGCACCTGTCACTGCAGGCCTCCGTTTCAACGACCACCGCATGATTCCTGAACTCTTGGAGGAAAGCCGCCCGAGCCCGTTGCAGGTGTGCCTGCTGGGCACATTGTCGAAGGCCAATTGTGCCGAAGGGTGCAGTAGTTTCTGCTTTCAACCGACCGCCTGGAACTTCTGCTCGATGTACTGCACTGTTCCTTTCTCACGAAAGTTCTTCATCTCCTGGTTAGCTGATCAAATACATGAAGCTGGAGTGACGTCTTGCTTCCTGGCGACTTCTAAAAAGTCCTTGGGATCCAAGTGAACCTCTTGCGTGGAAAACGTCTTGAAAATCTTGTCCAGACTTGCACACAACCTCAAGCTGTGAGAAACCTGCTTTCTGATGCCCTCGTTACTTTCTGTTGAAGATATTGAAGTTATGCCCAGTCTATCGCGTCTAGTCTACCTATTAGCGTATAGACCTCGCATGTCTGTGCAACATGTCAAGCAGTGCAAAGTCAGAACCAGCTTCGCCCCAAACTTCGAGCCCTCATTCCAAATTCTGACGGGCCAACATCATGGGGGTTATATTGGGGTTATCTTGGGATATTAGACAAGAAAATGGAAACTACTATTTCGGATTTAGGGTTTAGGGTGCCAAGAATGGCAGCTTCGAAATTGTACGAGAGTGGGAGGTTGCATGGTGGGGGTCAGGGGGGGAATTGGCTGGCGGATGGAGGGCAGGAGTTTTGGGGGGAGTGCCCTCCGTTTGAAGAATGATAGAAAACTATGGAATATCATTACTGATGAAAAAAGGAAAATCATGAATTGTGACGAAGATGATGAAAAAGACAAAAACGGTGTAATGCGATGAGAAAAGGTGAAACATGATCTGGAAATTATGAACATTGTAGAAAACCATGGAAATCATGCACGATGACGGAAAGGTATGCTGCGTTGATGTATGATGGAAAACGGAGAACATTGACAAACATGATTAAACACCGAATAAAGTGATGAAGCTTATGCAAAAAGATTAACAATAATAATGAGAAAGCCTGAGTAAGAGTGATGGACATGACGAAACATGATGCAAAATGACAAGACACTATAATATGATGGATAGGCCCTCCCCCATTTGCAACAAATCATGTGAAATTATTGAAAATCATCCAGATCGTGAAAGTGATAAGAAGTGATGAAAAACGATGAAGGTGATGAAAGATGACAAAGGCAATAAACAATTATGTGGAGTGCTCGAACTGATGCTCGAACTGATGCACACTGTAGAAATATGGCGACATATGATGAAGACACTGAAATATGATGAAACATCATGAAGATGACGAAAAATGACGGAGGAAGTTACAAACATCATGCACGTGATAGCAAATTATGGAAAATCATACAACATTGATGAAAAGTCATGTAAAAATGATGACAACAATGGAAATGACAAGAAAACCGTTGAACATGATAACAGGGTGTAAACTTATTCAACTATGATGGAAATGAAACATGATTGAAATTTGAAATTGTTTCCTGGAAATCCTGATGCAATAATCTTGGACAAGTATAAACAATGATGAAGCAAGATGAGATATGATGAAAACAACCTGATACATGATGACAATCATATTCTCTAGTCTAGAAAATGACTATAGTAACATGAACCATACAGATGAGAGGCTCATACTCAAACAATACGAAAACAGTTTAAAAAAAAAAAAAAGTATGACTTATCTTCATCGTGTATCTCTTTCTTTCGTGTCCGTCTTTCGGTGTTCTTCTTCCTTTCTTACTTTCTCTCTTTCAAGGTCCCTTTCTTGCTGTCTTTCAAATGTTGTTCTTTCTTTCTCGCTTTCTTGGTGTCTTTCTGTCTTTTTTCCCCGCTCCCCTTTTTTGCATCAGGGTCTCACTACTCCACCAACTCTTCTATCCTTCCTTGATGGCCTTCATCTACGGCAATAAGGCCCCTCGGGNNCCCCAAAAAAAAAAAAAAAAAAAGTTCAAAAAAATATCTGAAGGTGTTGACAAATCATCCTGCTTGTGAAGTGGGGTGAATTTGACATTCCAGCAAGTATGTAATGTAAGCACCTCGGATCACAGCTAAGGAGCTTCGCAACATCTGCTGCCATTTCACCGTCTGCGGGATACCTGGTGAAACTAGAGCTGGAGCCATCCTTCCAGTTCCAGCACATGATCAAGTTTCGCATCCTGGTACAAACAGCAGCAGCTACTTCAGTGATCTTCGTACTCAACTAATTCTGGTGCAATTTTGGACAGTCTTGCGATCCTGGTCTTGGCAAGGGAGGCTAGAACCACAGCAAGCTTTGCCTGAAGTGGTTGGTCCTGGAAGGTGCGGAGCTTGTGCCCTCCAGTCGTCAGCAGAACACTCTGCGCTTAAGGCTTTGCACTGTCGCAAGTCCGGAACTCGTTGTGCATGTGAGCTAGAAGCCCTCCGATATGATGTAGATTACAGTGCCGCCACTGTGCAGCTAGCATGGTTTCGTGAAGTTTCGTAGGATGACACATGCACAATCTGCAGATCCGAGTCGACAGTAGAATCTCCTGCGTTACCAGGACAGTCTGGATGATTGATGATCATAGCTGGTCCCTTTCCTAAAAAAGCTGAACATTATGCTTCGTAGTGCATCACAGTCAGGATCATGGTGTCGTCTGAACTTCGGAGCTTCTCCAACAGCGTGTCTGTAGCCCCGGAATGTCCATTCACGGACATGATGCCTGTGCGAGGCGTTTGCCCAGAATCTCTCTCACCTTTCACTGCCAGTCTCACTTGCTATTTCAGCCGAGGTGCGATCGTGGGGCACGATGGCCAGTTCTGGCTTGTTTCTGTTCCAGTCAGCAACAAGGCCACTGCCGACAGACGCCTGCAATTACCAAGAAAGCTGCTGCACTTGACAAGCTGCAGCTGAAACATGCTGAAACTAGCGGAGAATGTCTGCATTGATTTGGACGACAAGATGCAATCCACGGCTTCACCGACGTCTTGCGGTAGTTGACATCTATGCCCAAGCGACCTGAGCAGCAGAATGAAGCCTTCAAGCCACACACGACAACATTTTACAGTCTGAACCTGCGCATGGCAGCACTGAGTCTTGCACCTGGCTTTCGCAGCACCACTGTTCTTTCTTGGGGCCGGCTGATGGTTAAGCGCACTTCCTGCAAAACAGATTGGCATACGCCAAAACATCGCGCTGACATCGACATCACGCGATGCATCTTGAGGGTCCTTCGCTTCTCTGTCCTCAAGCCTGCTGGCAATATCCTCTGCCGTACAGGGTGCACCATTTATCTCCACTATCTGATCCTTGGCTTAGCACAACCTCCTGGGCCAACACGGAAAGTGCAAGAGCCGAAACTGTTAACAAAGAGATGCAAGCGGTGACAGGGCTGCTCTTGGCAGCAGACACACCAGCAATCCCCAGTACGAGCCCCTGTGCTTGGAATGGTGCACATAATGTTTGTCTCTATGTCTGAAATTGAATGCGCAGGTGCATGACAGCATGCGACACGCAAATGTAATTTTGAAAGCAGCAAAACCAACTCAGAAATATCAGCAAAACCATGGCCGAGGCTTCAAAGTTCCTCATTCCTTGATAAATCAAGAACCCCTACAATCAGACTTTGTCAGGGGAACAGCTTTGGTCAAAACATCAGTGGATTTGCACTTGTATCTTCCCAGCTGCGCGCACGGGAAGCATCTGATTCAGCAATCTGGGAGAATGTTCAATTCTGCTGAGGGGCAAACGGTTGAATCTTGTGATTAGGATTGCCTTCATTCCATGCGGCCGCTGCGCCTCCTGTGACATCCTTGGATGGATCAGATCATGCACGAAGCATTGAGTTTGGGCCAGGAGCACCAAAAAAAAAGCGCATCGCAGCACATGTCTCCAAAACAAAGCTGAGCTTCTCGGACAATCACACAAGCCGTGTTTGACCGGTCCACTGAAACGCCAAAAGATGCAGCTTCAGTTGTAAGGACCGCGACGAAACGCCCGCTTGGCTCCTGCCAGTTGTTGCTGTCGCAACCTCCAGCAGCACAAAAATTTCGCCCAGCCTGAACTTCGTCAGCAAGCGTGCCATAGGCTTTTGGTGTTGTCTTCAATTCTGGAGCCAGTTCGAGGCCATTCTCCTGACAAAGCACTGTACCTGTTGCTAGCACCACACCATGACAGCAAGCACTAATGCGTCCTTGTCATCCGGAGCACAACAATGACAGAACATGGGCTGAAAATTGCTCGCATACCCAAACTCAGGCTTCGTGGGAACACTGGGCATCAAATTTCAGCGGAAAGAACAATACAGCAACAACAGCAGCAGGCCCAAGCTTCCACAACAAACATGTAGGCGTGGAGCGCAGCTCCATTTTCAAAAGTACGGCGCCAACACATGTAGGTAAGAATGACTGTTCACGGAGCTTCGCGCCGCGTAGGCATACAAACCGGCAGCACCAGCCAGAATAATCATGTGAAGTGATGTATGTGTGAAGTGTTGTGAAATATACAACATGTGCTGCAAGTGCTGGCAATTACGGGTTGACTTCGTCACCGTAATGCAAAAACGTGATGAGCAAATTATCTTGAACACGTTGCAACTTGTCCACCAGCTCAAGCGGACCACCTGGCCAATTGAGATTCCAAAGCACTTGCACCCCGTTTCATCGTGTTCCTGCAGTAGATCACACTGGCCTGATACCCCATTCACGGACAGGATCCTATCATGCACGTCGATCTGCAAGCTTGGTTTTTCGAAGTTCCATTGTCCCATGGCACCACCACGAATGCCAGTAACCCATGGCCTGGCAGTGCACCCAAGACCTGCTCTTTGACATGCATATGCAAACAAGTCTGACTGAAACCTGTTGACATTGAGTGTGCCTTATGGAGACCTGCTTCCTGAAACTGATATCCAAACCAAGGCGATCGGATTTCGGGAGGACCACGACACGTTCCGTGGGCCGTCGGACCACAAACGTTAGCTGGTCAACGCTGGCATTATCCATCATGTGCCGCAACACTGTGCCTTGAAGCATGACATGCACAAAGCTTTTATTCAAAACTGACGCTGCACAGTACATGCCATAGACACTCACAAATTTGAAATGTCTGCGACAACGCCAACTGAGACAAAGATCTCGTGCACGCTTCCTAAGTTGACATGCACTCATTACCTCACTGTGATACGTGCTAACTGCTAACACCATTCGAAAAACATGTGTTTCTCCGGCCTTTGAATTCAACAAGCCTTGGCAACACGTGGCTGGAAGATCTGTGCCGCTGAGACTCTCCATTGACCTGCGCCAAACGATCGAAAACTTGGACCTGTGTTTGGTCCGTATCGTCATTCCACTGCTGCAAGGCCCCTGTGATCTCCTCACAAAAGTGAAAGATGAAATGTGCTCTGGTGCCATCTCTTCCCCCATTGTGCAAACCATGCTGAAAGACGTCCGCGCCTTGACCACAATACACTTGGGGTTGGACATGTCTAACGCTGGAATAATTGCAGAAACATCATTGGCAACGGTCAACGTGTAGGCGTTCTCTCCGACGGCATCTGGCAGCACATGTATGGCAACACCACTTTTTGTGAGCACTTGGTCCCCTAGCCTTGCGCATCCTCTTGTGCATCATCCGCATCATGAAATACAGCAAGATGACCCTGGCAAAAGGCAGCGTAAGCGATGAAGACACAAGCCCCATTTGGTTAAACAATGTGCAAGTGACCTTTTGGATGGACTGAAACTCGTCACGGGTGGGATGTGCTTCACAGCACACACAAAACATGTTCGTGGCCACGCCACACTACTTCAACTGGCACCCCGCATCTTGAACCAACAATGCACTGGAATGCCAATTGTGCGGGCCCTGATTTCCAGATGACAGTGCCACAATTCTCATGGCATGGGTCATGGTCAACAAGTACATGCGCGGCAACAAAATTTTAGCTTGTGAGGTTCCCGCACGGATATCAGCCTGGTCGCAGCCCATCCTCTGACGACGGACTCAACATTGTTTTTCTTCGTTGTGGGGACTTTCGCGGGTGAGGCCGCGGACTGTCAGGCTCTCTGCGGCCTTGCCATCATCATGATTGGCTACGTGGCTGCTAGCTTTGCCCGTCAAGCTTTTTGCGGTCGCCTCCGGGCAATTAAGCTTGCGTAGGGCTTATGGGCACGCCGGCGGACTTTGATTCTACAGTTTTGTAAAGGAAAGCACGGCATTGCACCGCCCAACTTCTTGAGCCTCATCGGCGCCCCAAAGAAACACAAAAACCAGGAAACGCACGGCGCACTCAAAACAATAATGCATGGTGCGAATTGGAATACAACTACCAGCAGCAGTGGAACGTACAGGAGAGGCCACACTGAGCCCACATGAATTAATGCGGCCACTAAAGTGGAAAAGGTTGACTCTCTCCCCGGCACTTGGCTGGTGGCGAGATCAAGTTCCATGAAATGCCGCATCACATTCACTGTATGTGTGGAACAATACCAGGTCAATACAAGCCCATGCAAGCCATAGCACAAATACCGTCCCGCCCCACTGGTACTGGTTGCCTGGACCGCGGCCACGCTACCCCTGATGGGACCTGATAAAGAAACAGCGCGGACAGAGAAGATGCGCGCGAGGCTGAAGTTGCCACAGAATGAGTTTCCAACCATTTCGGGGCTTGCATGAAAAGATCCGCGAAACCGAATGGGGACACATGACACATACATCGCAAAGATAATAACACCCCACGCGCGACACCAATCAGGAAACTGAAACCTGGGGTCATCCTCTCTGCGTTGTTTCTCCTTTTTTCTTTAACGTCTCTTTTCTCTCCTCATGTATCTCTCTCCTCCCCTCTCCCCTTCTCTCCTATCTCCTCTTTTCCCCTCTCCTCTCTCTCTTCCCTCCCCTCTCCCCTCTCCCCTCTCCTCTCTCCTCTCTCCTCTCTCCTCTCTCCTCTCTTCTCTCCTCTCTTCTCTCCTCTCTTCCGTCCTCTCTCCTCTCT